CGGTTCGGGTGGTCCCCACTGATGGTTCAGCCCTGGTGCCTTGGGGGCTGCATGGCTTCCTCAGAGCAACAATGACGTTACCCTCACTACCTAATCTCAGACCTCCGCCAGCAGGTGCCCAGCCTGCCTTCCTGCGTCTCTGCTATCCTTCTCCTCCCTGTCCCCTTCCTCCTCCTTCCCCTCCCCCTCCCTCACCTCCTCCTTCCCCTTCCTCCTTCTTTTTCCTCCTTCTCCTTCTTCCTTCCTCCTCCTCCTCCTCCTCCTTCCCCTTTTCTTTCCCCTTCCTCCTTCTTCTTCCTCCGTCTCCTTTTTCCTTCCTCCTTCTTCTTCCCCCTCCTTCCTCCTTTCTCCCTCCTCTCCTCCTCTCTCCTCCTTCCTCCTCCTCCTCCTCCTCTTCTTCTTCAACATTTTTATTGATTTCAGAGAAGGAGAGAGAGGGAGAGAGTGAGAGAAACATCAATGATGAGAGAGACTCGTTGACTGGCTGCCTCTTGCACACCTAGCATGTGCCCTGATGGGGAATTGAACCCTGACCCCCGAGTTCATAGGTCAATGCTCAACCACTGAGCCACACGGCCGGGCACGTCTCTGCTTTTCTAAGTCCTTCCCAGCAAGGCGGCCCCAAACAGCACCTCTTCCCCTCTCCCCCCCTCGGAGTGCACGCCTGTCCCTCTCTCAAAGGCCCGAAGAGGCCTTGGCTGCCAGTGTTGTTTCTATCTTTGTGTTATCCCTTTGGAATCTTGGTCCTCTCAGTTAGGGTCCTGGGGTTTATAAAATCTGGCTCTCTCTCCTCTGCTAACATTTGTGGAAGTGCTTGGACAGAGAGTGTGTTTTTCGTGTGGAACTGGTGCCAAATTTTCCCCAATTCCAAGTACAAAATAAGGTTACTTGGCTTGTATGGCCACATGGTGTCACTGTTGCCAACGACCCCACGCAGTCCAGTCCAGTGCTGGTCTAGGTGTGGCCTATAGGCAGCAGCGTTCCTTGGGAGCTTGTTAAAATGCAAATCCTTAAGTCGAGCCCCTGATCTGTAATCAGAGTCTGGGGGTACCGCCCATGAATCTGTTTTTAGTGATTCAAGCATATTCCGTTTTCAGTAACCCCAGCCCAACAGACACCCACACACCGCAGTGTGGACGCCCACACTCTTCCCAGATCACTGTGGGGACGACCACGCCCCACTGCTTGACGCCCTGCACACCTGCTGCCCCTCATCCCGTGCTCCCCTGCAGGTCCTGCCCGACTACCTGAAGGGCCTCTTCAGCAGCGTGCCGGCCGGCCAGCCCCGCGAGCAACAGCTGCAGCAAGTGTCCAAGCTGGCGTCCCTGCAGCACCGGGCCAAGGACCACTTCTACCTGCCCAGCATGTGAGCACCTGCCCACCTGCCAGCCCCCACATTCTCAGAGTTGGACATCCCAGGCCCTGTGCACCCGCTCACACCAGCAGGCTCTCTGGGAAGGGGCTGACCTGGCCATGGGCTACCATCCTCCAACTCGCCCTGAGAGCTGGGCCCTCCTCCTCCCACAACAGGTTGCTTCCAGCTGGTATTAACAGCTCAGAATAAATTTAATGATAAGAAGGCTTTCAGGACACACAGCCCCGTCATCCGGGGAATACACGCGGCCATGCAGAAATGTTCACCAGGGCGTTGCAGCCAACAGCAAGGCCTTCCTGGGTGCTATGTTCTCACAGGGGTGATAAATCAGTCCTTCTCAGGAATAGGACCCCAAAAAGCTTTTGTTTATGTGGGCTGTATCCATTAATATATATTTACCATATTCAAAATTAAAACTCAGGAACAATTTAAAATATTGATTAATTAATTTAAAAACAAGGATAATATATTACATCTCTCTATATAAAAGCCTAAGCGACCGTTCAACCGTTCGACCAGTAGCTATGACATGCACTGACCACCAGGGGGGCAGATGCTCAATGCACAGGCATGGAAACATGGAACAGACTGATGAATCTCAGAGGGAAGAGGGGAGGGGGGAGGCAGGAAGAGATTAACCAAAGTTCTTATATGCATATTAGAGGCCTGGTGCACGGATTCGTGCACCGGTGGGGTCCCTCGGCCTGGCCTACAGGGATGGGCCAAAACCGGCTCTCTGACATCCCCTGATGGGTCCCGGATTGTGAGAGGGCATATAAGATCTTTGGTTAATCTCTTCCCACCCTCCCCCATCCCCCCTTCCCTCTGAGGTTCATCAGTCTGTTCCATGTTTCCATGCATGTGGTTTCTGCTCCTGAATTGAGCATCTGCCCCCTGGTGGTCAGTGCATGTCATAGCTATCAGCTGGCTGGTCAGCCGTTCACTTAGGCTTTTATATATAGAGATAATATAAATTAACATTACATGTTAATATAAACAACATAAAAAATGTATTTTCCAAAAAAAATTAGTGAGAAGAGTGGCACTGTTTTTACATTTTGTAAATCTATTTTATTTTATTTATTTGAGAACAAGGGGCAGGGAGACAGAGAAACAGTGATGAAAGAGATAACCATCTATGGGTTGCCTCCCAAAACATGCCCTGACTGGGAATCAAACCCACTACCTTTTGGTGTACGGGACACCGCTCCAGCCCACTAAGCCACAGCGGCTGGGGCTGTGAATTGCGTCACCGTGTGGCTGAACAGAAGACACCTGGTTCTCACGCCTGCTTCTGCAGCCAGTCTGCTCTGGTCTCACATGCCATGTAGCCTCTGGCAGGCTCCCCTGTCCTTGTGAGAGAACAAGAGGGAAAAACCAAATAACGGCTCAGTGTTAACATGGGCGTGTCCTTGACCCCCCAGAGCCTCGCCCACTTTGACAATCCCTGTGTGAATAATGGTAAGATAATGTATCTACAGTGAATGTCCTGGTGCTGTCATTCAGTAAGGGCTCAATACGTAAAGCTCTTTGATGTTACGGTTTTAAGCAAAAAGCATGGGAAGCACATAAAAGTATACTATAATCCTAATCCTGGGTAGAAAGAATCATTGGGTTCTTACTTTGTGCAAAGCACTCTGTATCCACTTTATTTTCCCCTTACACAGATGAGGCGACTGAGGCCCAGAGAGGTTGCATGGCTTGCTGAAGCTTACCCAGCCAAGTGCGGGGGGCCAGGTCCAGGCGCCAGGCGCCTACCCAGCACTGCAAAGAAGGGGGTCTCCCGGGGAAGGGGATGCCCATGACTTTCTCCCAAACGTCCCCCCGCCCGCAGCTCGGGGTCCTGGGCCTGGCTTTCCCCGCCCGCAGCTCGGGGTCCTGGGCCTGGCTTTCCCCGCCCGCAGCTCGGGGTCCTGGGCCTGGCTTTCCCCGCCCGCAGCTCGGGGTCCTGGGCCGGCTGGAACTGCCGTTGGTGTTTCCCAGCTGCCCGGAGGACGCGGCATGTTAAGGGCCTGGAGGGGAGATGGGGCGTCTGGCAGCTTTCCTCTACCCCATACCCGACCAGTGCTGGTGGTGGCTTTGCCGGCTCTGGTAGTTCCGCACCTGCCGCTGCTGTGTGCTGCTCGCCCCTCTGGCCTGGGTTTCTCCTTGGGGGTACGAACCCACCTTGGATTCAAGGCTCAGCGCCCCCACTCAGACTCACTTGGTTGTTGTGTGGCCTCGGGCCAGGCAGTGAACTTTTCAGAGCCTCAATTCCCTCATCTTCAAACAGGAAGTCGCGGTGCTGGCCCGCAGTTATAGAGCTCTGCTGTGGGCCAGGGCACCGGGAGCATTTAATACCCATCCCCAACGCTCTGCACTCCCAGCGGTTAGTCTGCCGGGAGGTGCCGGGAGCACATGGCTCTGCACCAGCCTGCGGCCAGGATCGCAGGAGACGGTGCTCAGGCCGCCTTCCCCCCACGTGCAGGCGGGAGGTCCAGCAGTACATCCCGGCTCAGCTCTTCCACTCCACGGCCGGCGCCGCCTGGCTCAGCCTGGTCAGCCAGCACCGGCAGCAGACACAGGCGCTCAGCCCCCACCAGGCCCGTGCCCAGTTTCTGGGTAAGAGTCTGGCTGGGGAGATCGTCATAGGGGCTTTGCTGAGGAGGGGTTTCGGAGGGGGGGGATGAAGGCACCTTTTTTTTGCACAAAGGCATCTTCAGTGTGCGTCACGCTGAGCTGCCTGGAGAGAACACCTTTCTAAAACTTTCACCAAGGCACCACCTTGACCAGTGATGGTGAACCTATGACACACGTGTCAGAGGTGACACGCGAACTCATTTTTTTGGTTGATTTTTCTTTGTGAAATGGCATTTAAATATATAAAATAAATATCAAAAATATAATCTTTGTTTTACTATGGTTGCAAATATCAAAAAATTTCTATATGTGACACGGCACCAGAGTTAAGTTAGGGTTCTTCAAAATGCTGACACGCCGAGCTCAAAAGGTTCGCCATCACTGCCCTAGACTCTGGGTAGCTCTTGGCAGAGAGAGCTGGCCGCCAGGGCTGGGCGCTGCAAGCAGGGGGAGGGCAGGAAGGCGCGAGACAGGAGGCTCGGATGGAGCACCCCTGCCCTGGCTGCGGGGGGAGGGTGAGGGCTGTGGGCGACAGGCAGTTGAAGGCGTGTGCCACTGATGAGCCCCTCATTCTGACTGTCCCTCTCCTGCCCCAGGCCTCCTCAGCGCCTCCCCCATGTTTGGCTCCTCCTTCTTCTTCATCCAGAGCTGCAGCAACCTTGCTGTGCCGGCCCCCAGCATCCTTGCCGTCAACCAGAATGGCCTCAACTTCCTCAGCACTGAGACCCACGTGAGTGGCCTCAGCCCGCTCTGCTGCTCACTCTCTTCCCAGAGCCCACCCCTCAGAGGGACTGAGCCCAGCTCCACCACTTACACCTGTGTGGCCGGGGCAGCCCCCCACCTCACGAGCCTCAGTTCCTCGTCTGGAACACGGGGATGATAGAATCCACCCCATGAAGCTGTGAAAGCAAAACACCGCCAAACACCCAGTGTCTCAGTCGCTTAGGCTGCCGCAGACAGGCCTCAGCAACAGAAAGTAACTGTGATTGTCTCACAGCTCTCCAGGCCCAGGTGCCGGCAGGGTTGGTTTCCTGAGCCCCTCTCCTCTCTCCCCGTGGCTTATCGGTGGCCGTCTTCCCCGGTGTCCTCATGTGACCTGTTCTCTGCATGTGTCCTGGTGTCTTTCTGTCCAATGTCCCCATCTCACGAGGACACCGGTCAGGTTGAGTTGGGGCCCCTCCAATGGCCGCAGTTTAACTTCATCACCTCTTTAAAGGCTCAATCTCCAATGACAGCCATATTCTGAGGTTTGGGGTGTTAGGGCTTCGACATATGGATTTGGGGGGACACGATTAAGTCCATAACAAATAGGACCTGTTGCCCCCTTCTTAGTTCTTCCAGAAGTGAACCTCCACATGAGGACAGGGCAGGTGGTTTATCTGGGGGTGACTCTAGGAAGCACTGGAGTGAGGGAGTGAGATCAGGAAGGGCCAGCCTCACTCCGTGGGAAGTGTAGGTTAGCAAGCAAGTTGCCGCCGTGCAAGTGGCACTGAGTCCAGCGGGCTCTCCGGGAGGCGGCATGGGACACACCCACAGAGGATGCCTCTGGCCTGGGCTCAAGGGAGCCAGGGCGCCTGCCCACCACGTCCCCTCGGGCATTCATGGAGGCATTCACTCTCATAGCTCTGAGTGCTCCTGGAGCCAGAGAGAAAGCTCCAAAGAGGGGCAGGTGTTACGAAGCAGGCTTGATGCTAAGGTCAGGGCACCCCACATCTACAGCACCCCCGGATCCCAAGCACTTGCAAGAGTGCCTGGCACACTGCAGAGGTATGCACTCGCATTGCTGAATCAGTCTTACAGGTGAGGTCCGAGAGGGAAAGCCAGGACTTGCTCCAGGTCACACAGCAAGTCACTGGGGAGCTGATACTCGACCGGGGTGTCCTTCCTACTGTTGATCAGGTCTGCGGGGGAGGGATAAGGTGGGTGAGACTGTTCCACCCATAGGCCTGTCTGTCCCCCTGCCCCAAGGAGCTGATGGTGAAGTTCCCCCTGAAGGAGATCCAGTCGACGTGGACCCAGCGGCCCACAGCCAGCTCCAGCTACCCCTACGTGGAGATCGTGCTGGGGGATGTGGCAGCCCAGTGCACCATGCAGCTGCAGCTGGAGCAGGTGGGCCCTCCCTCAGCACCCAAACCTTGTCACCCACCCTCGCTCCCTTATTTCACTCACCAGGCTCTCCCCTGCGTCTGGCTCCAAGGGTCCCTCTCGTGTTCTGGCCAGGCCACAGGGAACATCCAGCCCAGTGCAGGTGACAGAACTAACCCAACACTGCACAGGACTGCAGGCCTTTGCCGTGGTCTCCCAGCGAGGGCTGGGTGATGAGCTCATGGGAAAGAGCCCAGGGTGTGTGCAGAATCGCGAGGCGTTTGCTAGGGAACTGGGAGGCAGCCAGGGCAGGAGAGGTCGTGAAGGTCTGCGAATGCCGAGCTCAGAGTCCGGGGCTTTCCTCTGAGGGCACTAAAAGGTTGGTGAAAGGGCAGTGGCCCAGAAGCTGGGCTTGGAAGGTGGATTGTGGGGACTGGGATTGAGGGTAGGGATGGGGGGTCCCCATGTGATATACAGGGACACAGGCCCACCTGCCCTGTTCCTTATTTGCAGCAACTGTGGCTGATCCTTAAAAGGTATGGCTGACTTCTGGGCTCCTGTCCAAGTATCACAGCCCCCAGGGAGCGGGGGGGGCAAAACCAGAGTTTTCACCCCATTGAAAGAGGATTGAGGCTCACAGGTGGGGCAGAATGGGGGCTGGGACCCACACGTCTGCCTTTGACAGCCTACCACATCCTCCTCAGATCTGGGCCCAGGACAGCGCCAGCAGGGCCCGTCTTGAAGGAGCTGGTTTCCCAGGGCAAGAGGGAGGGTCTCCCACTGCCCCGCCCTGACTCTGACAGCCCAGAACAGAGCCCCTTTGGCTCTTTGTGGCCCTTGAAGAGCCTGCAACTCAGGACGAGGCTCCCCAGTTTGCTTCCTACCGTATCCCAATTCTGCTTCTGGCCTTACCCTCTGGCCCAGTCTGCTTCCCAGAACCCTCTTCTCTGAGCTCCCACCACAGTGAACCTCCTTCCCATACCTGCCGACCACCCACTCTATCTTGGGCTCATTTCCTGGTGCCTCCTCCCCAGACTGCCTCTGAATGTTGCCTCTCCCCCAGGACCCCCTGTAGCACTGAGGCTTCCCAAACCATCTGTGTGAGAGCCCCCTGGAGATCAGCAGTTCTCTCCACTTTCCCTCCCAGGCACTGTAGCCCCCAACCTAGGAGCCTTCCCATCCCTGCCCCCCCTCTCATTGTCTCTATGGCCCTCTGCTCTCACCCTTCGCCCAGCCATCCTGGCCTCTCCCAGCTCCCTGACGACAAGATGGCCCTCCCTCCTGCCCCAGGCCCTCTGTACTCACTGTCCCCTCTACCTGGAGTGTGTGCCCCCCTTCGCCTGTCAATCACAGGGCCCCTCCCTCCCTTTATTGTAGTTCCAGGGCAAACATCACCTCCTCCTAGAGCAGTGGTTCTCAACCTTCCTAATGCCGCGACCCTTTAAATACAGTTCCTCATGTTGTGACCCAACCATAAAATTATTTTCGTTGCTACTTCATAACTGTAATGTTGCTACTGTTATGAGTCATCATGTAAATATCTGATATGCAGGATGTATTTAGGCGACCCCCAAAGGGGTCGCGACCCACAGGTTGAGAACCGCTGTCCTAGAGGCTTCCCTGACCCTCCTTCCTGATCATCGTCTCCTTCTGTCTTGGTGGCCTGCACAATGGCTTGCAAACCATTTAGTTATTTGTTCATGTGTCCTGCCTGTCTCCCCCCTGGACTGTCACACGAAGGGCATGTCCAGCACGATATCCATAACACGGTGCCAGCACAGCAGATGCTCAGCCGTGGATGCATGAACCGGGGGAGACCTTTTTGGCTTGTCCACTTCTGCCTCTTGCATGTGTGTGTACAGGGGACACATAACCACTGAGCATCTCTAGGTCGCAGGCTCTGCCCTGGCTGCAGGGACCCTGAAGTGACTGAAACCCCTCAGCACTGGCTCTCACAGAGCCCGAGTCTCATGGGGAAACAGACATCAAAGAATTTCTCCAATAAACCATGGCGATCAGTGCTGAGGGTGTCCCTGAGCTATCTGGAGGTCATCAGGGAGGCTTCCAGGAGGTAGTGATGTCTGAGTACAGCATGACTCAGCCAACAGACCCAGGTCCCTATCCTGCCTGCCCCTGACAGACTGTGTGAGGGTGTCTCAAGCTACCCTGCTTCTTACTGAGCCTGTTTCCACACCTGTCAAGGGGGCAACGATCCCAGTGAGGCCTGGAGCCCTGCAGCATGTAGATAGAACTGGCTGGGAGGAGGACCCCATTGTGTACTCACTCGGATCCCATTAGCTGAGGTGGCCCCCAGGGTGGGACAGGCACAGCTAACCTCAGCAAAAGAGCAGTTCAGAGTGTTGGCCTCCTCCCACCAGCTGTGAGGTCTGGGTAAGTGACTTCATGGCTCTGGCCTCAGTTTCCTCACCTGTGGAATGGGATCTGAGTGTGTGCCTCATAGGGAACTGGGGACTAGCAGGGGTAGGACTCAGGACGATGCCTGCCACTCAGTGTTGCCCTCATTATGTCTACCCTTTTTCTGGAGCAGCTTCTGCTGGCCCTCAGGGCATTCCCCGGGGATTCCAGCTGGCTGTGGTCTGAGAACCATACTCACAGATGGATTTTCCAGTTCCCTGCCCGTCCCCCTCCCTCCCCAATCCCCCAGTTGGGAGCCCTGAGGCTGAGACATAGCTTATTCTGGGCTGTGAGTGCCAGGTGGTAACTGGCAATACAGTTAGAAACTTGCCATTTATTGACTGGACTAATATTCTTTTAATCTAAAGAATGTACACATGGAATCCTCACCACAGCTCCATGAGGCAGACCCCGGTAAACTGAGATCCTGCATGAGGCCACTGAGGCTCAGAGAGGTGCAATAATTGGCCCTAGGTCACCCGGTTCACATGCAATAAAGCTGGCAGATGCTCTTGGTCTCCTGCTTGCTTACCCCTTCCAGCCCATAGCCCAGCATCCCTCCTTCCAGCTCATCGTGCTCCTCCCAGGGCCCTGGGGGCACTGGGGAGACTGTCTCCCATCCACTTCCTACCCCAGGTGAGAGCCGGGCACGTGGGGTGGCCGTGGACTCTGGTCTCTCCTGCAGGGCCTGGAACTGTGCCGAGTGGTGGCTGTGCACGTGGAGAACCTGCTCAGTGCCCGAGAGAAGCAGCTCACGCTGCCCCCCAGTGAGATCACGCTGCTCTGACCCGCCTCAGCCCTGCAGCTGCACTGCCAGCAGGCTCGCTCTGCGGCCCCAGGGGAGTTCCTGGGCCTCTCCGTGCCGGTGACCTCTACAAGGGCCAGAACTTAGGGGAGACCAAAACATGGGAGGAGGAATGACCCAAGTCCCCAGGAGCCCAAGACCTCGCCAGAGTTGGGATGGAGTCGAGACATGCAATCTTGAGTCAGAAAGCAGGACTCCCCCCAAAGGCTGCCCGTGGGCCTCCTGCCATGTACACTCAGGCCCTGGCCCCGACTCCCACCTGTGGCCGGGAAGCCCCAAACCAGTGGCCTGGATGAACTGGACTTTGCCTTTGGTTTGACGGGTCTGATGTTCAAACCTGCTCCACTTCTCAACCTCTCACATGTCCTCCTTGGGTGCCCCCGTACGGCCGCTCAGCTTGGACTCATGACCCTTGGTCATTTCTGTACAAATAAAAGGTGCACCTGGCAGCCAGTCCTCCATGGTTGCTGAGTGGCTGGAAAACAAATCTGAGGGAGGAAGCAGGAGCTGGAGGCCTAGCTGTGCCCCTGACTCACTGCCCATGAACAGAACTTCCAGCAGAGACATATCTTTACCTCTCCTTGCAGACCTCTGTGCCCCCACTCCTTGGGTGACCCCAACCCCAGGGCCCCATCACTGGATGGGCCACATAAGGTTCAAGAGTGGTATAGTGGAGAAAGAAGCTCCATGTTAGGGGCTGGGGAGGGAGAAGTCTGGGAGCTTCCCAAGGAATAGGACTTTGTTATTGGGTTTTGAAGGATGAATAGGAGTTTGCTAGGACTAGATGGAGCAGAGGGGAGTGAACATTCCAGAGAAAATGGTGTTTGTTTCCACTATATCCCCCAGAGCCTAGGACAATGCCTAACACAAATTAGGCACTTAAAAAATACTGGTCACGTGAATAAAATAATAAATGAATATTAATGGAAAGTGCTGGTGCTTTGGGGAACCTGGGGGTGGGAGGGGAGCAGCAGACTTGGGAGAGGAAGTCTGAATAGGTATGTGGGGGCATAATTGGCTGAAGCCACGGGGTCAGAGGAAGGATTTATTTACTTATGCATTACCTATTAAGCACCTACTGTGTACTATGCAAATGCGAGGTACTGGAAGTTGCTCATAGTTAAAGTATAGAGCAAGACAAGACCTGTAAATGAGAATTAGCTGGGTGACGAGGGGAGGAAACGGCATGCGCAGAAACCCTGAAGCAGAGATTCCTAGGGGGTGGCCATTCCTAGTGGCAGGACTTGAGACTGGAGGCTCACAGGGTGGTTTGGGTAAGGCTTTGCAGACTATGTGGGATTTCATCCCAAAAGCCATGAGGAGCCTTCAAAGTTTTTTCAATGGAGGGGTGGCAATCTGCTCAGATTGTATTCTGAAAAGGTCATTCTGATCACAAAGCAGAGTGCATGCAGGAGGCAGGGAGACCAGAGGGGAGGCTGCTGCAATGTCAGCTGGGAAACGCTGTGGTGTGGACAGTGGTGGTGGTGGTGACAGGGGTGGGCAGAAGTTAAGCTGGGAGAGATTTAGGTCCAATGGGAAGGACTGAGGGATCAATCAGACCATCCTGAGGCAGGGATGTCCCACTTTCACCAACGCCTTAGGTTGGTTTCCTTCAGAAGCAGCCCCAAGATAAAGAGCCCACAAAGAGCTACCCCCACACAGTAGGTCTACCCAGGTGTGAGCTGAGAGGCTTTTAAGGTCAGATGATTGCCACGTGGAAGTGGATCCTCCAGGTTGAGCCCTCCCAGCTGATGCACATGAACTCGGAGTAGCCTCCTGGCTGAACCCTGACCAGACGGCAGATCTGTGAGCTGGTTAACTGACTGAGGCCTCAGCTTTGGGTGCTTTGTTACCGAGCACTGGATAAGGAAACAGTAGGGCTTTTGGATTTCAGGGCCTGGACCTAAGGCATAGGCTCATGTTTTCACAGCTGTTCTGGCGACTGGTGGCATTAGAGAGCTGAGCCCTCTTAAGAGCAGGTGACAATCTCCATGAGGCAGACTGGAAAGAGTCAGGGGTGGTAGGAGAGTCAGACCCTGCTGTATTCCCAGATACCATAGGGCAGCCGTTCTCAACCTTCTGGCCCTTTGAATACAGTTCCTCATGTGACCCAACCATAAAATTATTTTCGTTGCTACTTCATAACTGTAATGTTGCTACTGTTATGAATCGTCATGTAAATATCTGATATGCAGGATGGTCTTAGGTGACCCCTGTGAAAGGCTCGTTCGACCGCCAAAGGGGTCGCGACCCACAGGTTGAGAACCGCTGCCCTAGGGGTACCACACTGGGCCCCCCTACTTGACCCAAGACCCAGAAAGATAGGAACTCCAGGTAGCTGTGAGGAGATCCAGAGCAGAGGGGACCAAGCCCCACAGCCTACCATGGAGTGAGAACAATACAGGAAAAATGACTGGGTGGCATGGGAGCCTGAGACAGTCAACTGGTGAAGGTTTGGGATCACGGATGGGTGCAGCAGGATGCACCATATCTGTGTGCTGAAAAGTAACCAAAAGGACCTTATTGCTGCCCCTACGTGGGACGGGGTTGTACATGGCCAGGTTCCAATGTCCACACACTCCCCACTCCGGTCTTCCCCTGCCCAGGGCCCACAGACTCTTCAGAAGATCTTGGCTTGGTAGTTAAAGGCCCAGGCTGCGGACCCAGAAAGGCCTGTGTTCAAATTCCACATCTGTGTGCTGATTAGCTGTGTGGCCTTTTGCAAGTGACCTGGCAGAGGGCTTAAGTACAGTGCCCGGGTCCCAGGTGTCCAGAATTCCCCATTACACAGATCCTGCTGTCCTGGCCTTGCCAAGTCACTACACAACAACCTCCACCTCCCGGCAGGGACTGGTCGGATCCTGTTTACAGATGCAGAAACTGAAGTGCAGACTCAGGGTCAGCAATACCCTCTGCTTAACACACATGACTTCACTTCATCCTCACAACTGCCATGAGGCGGGCACTAATGCTATTCCCATTTCACAGACCAGAAGACTGAGGTTCAGAAAGAAAAGTCACTTGCCCAGGGTCATACAGCCTGTCAGGTCAAAATTCAAATCCAGCCAGAGCCGGTTCGGCTCAATGGATAGAGTTGGCCTGCGGACCAAAGGGTCCCGGGTTCTATTCCATTCAAGGGCACATACCGCGGTTGTAGGCTCCTCCCTGGCCCCGGCCGCGCAGGAGGCAACCAATCGATGTTTCTCTCGCATTGATGTTTTTCTGTCTTTCCCTCTCGCTAAAAAAAATCAATGGAAAAATATCCTTGGTGAGGATTAAAAAATAACAAAAACACAAATCCAGAGTCCAGTGCTCTTGCCCTGACAAGCTGTGGGCAGGGACGACACACTGGCTGGAAACAAAATGACCAGAGAGTTGAGGGTGCAGGCAGATGCAGAGGCCAGACGGGAAACCTACGATGCGTTTCATTCCCATGAGAATCCGGTTAGGCTGCAGGAAGACGTGAACCGCGCCTGGAACAGCTTGGGTCCCGGCCCGGAGGCGTGACTGGTATGTCTGCAGACTCGGCAGGTCAGGGCGGCTGGGGCTGTGTTCACGGGAAGGGTCTTCCCCGGAGGCCTGAGCGCCAAGCAGAGCGGACGAACTTCATCCTGGGAGGCCGAGCAGAAGCCACTGCCGTGGGCCGCCCCCGCGCACGCCCAGTCGCCACCCTCTGCTCACTCGGGGCTCCCGGCCGGACCACAGAGCTTCAGACTTCTCAGTCGTCTCCGGTAATATAGTCCTGCCTTACCCGCGAGCCTACTCGTCCTCTTGAGTTTCCTTCTGCCGTTCCCGGAAGAGCGGCCCTCAGACCCAGCTCCAGCTCCAAGCAAGAAGCTAAGCCAATCCCGGAGCGTTCCGCGGCTGCGCACGCACCGAAGCCTCACGTACGTGACTCGCGGAACGTCCGCTACTGGCGGCAGCGGTGGCTGCGAGGGAGAGAGGGGCAGTGAGGCGCCCCGTCAGTGCGTCCAGATTCTGCGAACATCGTGGTTCGGTTTAGAGCTGGAAATTGGTGCTCTTGGCCGGGCAGTTCAGAAGTTTCCTTTAGCGTCTGAGGGCTTTTTTTCCGGTCGGATCCCCATTCAGGCACCTACTAAGACACCCATTCATCTTTCAGGGGTCCTCATAGCCCTCCCTGCCGCTAATTGACGGATACAGTTGCCAAGGCGACCGTCTGATTGACAGGCAGGATTACCAACCAACTTCCGGAAGCTCCCCTCTGGGTCCGCCCGGCGCGTGGCCGGGGGCCCGTGAAAGAAGTGAAAGAACCAAAAGGGACGGTAACCCGACAACCTACTCCTAGGTTGTTGGCGATTTCCCGGAGATTGCGCGCTGGGGGCTGAGGCGTTTTTCGGACAGTCGAACGATGCCGTGACGCAGCATAGCGATAGCGTTGGCAGTGTGAGCGCACCCCTGTGGAGGGAGCCCTTCGGTGTTCTTTGAAAGTGCTCCCTCGGACTCCTAGCGTGGGGGAGGGGTGGCGGCCGACCAGCGGTTCCCCGTCTGCGCTTGCGCCTGCACCTCTGCTGACCCGGCCTGCTCGCTCGCGCAAGTCCGCTGCGCGCGGAGCCGCGGTGGCCGGCAGCACTGCGCGTGCGCGTTGAAGAGCTTGTTGAGGAGCGGCGCTGGCGGACGTCGGGCGAGCGGCGCGTGACGTCGTGAGGAGCGCTTTAAAGTGCGGGCTGGGCCGGGCGTCTGAGGGTCTAGCCGGGAGTCGAGCCGATTCTTCGCAGCGGCCCTCCGCGGCATGAGGCGCTGCTGGCGCCCCTGCCCCCCGGGACGTGGAGAAGGTGGAGGAGGAGGAAGCTCCATAGCCGCCACCGCTGCATGACTCGCCGCCCCTGAGGTTCGACCCAGCGCCTGGCCCTCAACTCCCCCAGCCGGGTCCTCGTATGGGGACCTGGCGCTGAGGACCCCCTGCCCTCCGGGGGCCCCGGGCCGCGTCCCCCGAGAGCCATGCCCGGCCGCCCCGGCCGCCCCGAAGGACCCTAGAGCAGCGTCGCGGGGCCATGGCGGCCGCCAGCGGTTACACGGACCTGCGTGAAAAGCTTAAGTCCATGACGTCCCGGGACAACTATAAGGCGGGCAGCCGGGAGGCAGCGGCGGCTGCGGCCGCCGCCGTGGCCGCCGCCGCTGCCGCCGCCGCCGCCGCCGAGCCTTACCCGCTGCCCGGGGCCAAACGCAAGTACCAGGAAGACTCGGACCCCGAACGCAGCGACTACGAGGAGCAGCAGCTGCAGAAGGAGGAGGAGGCGCGCAAGGTGAAGAGCGGCATCCGCCAGATGCGCCTCTTCAGCCAGGACGAGTGCGCCAAGATCGAGGCCCGCATCGACGAGGTGGTGTCCCGCGCCGAGAAGGGCCTGTACAACGAGCACACGGTGGACCGGGCTCCACTGCGCAACAAGTACTTCTTCGGCGAGGGCTACACGTATGGCGCCCAGCTGCAGAAGCGCGGGCCGGGCCAGGAGCGCCTCTACCCGCCGGGCGACGTGGACGAGATCCCCGAGTGGGTCCACCAGCTGGTGATCCAGAAGCTGGTAGAGCACCGCGTCATCCCCGAGGGCTTCGTCAACAGCGCCGTCATCAACGACTACCAGCCCGGGGGCTGCATCGTGTCCCACGTGGACCCCATCCACATCTTCGAGCGCCCGATCGTGTCTGTGTCCTTCTTTAGCGACTCCGCGCTCTGCTTCGGCTGCAAGTTCCAGTTCAAGCCTATCCGAGTGTCGGAACCTGTGCTTTCCTTGCCGGTGCGCAGGGGGAGCGTGACTGTGCTCAGGTAACCCACCTGGGAGGAGGGGCGGCCCTGCTGCTGTAACTGCCTACCCTGACCCAGGAGGCAGCGGCCACTAGGCGCCCGCACTTTAGTTCTGACCCACTCCTGTCTTTCATACTTGTAGTAAGAAAGTAGGGACGGGTCTGGGAACCATCTAGAATTCTGTGTCCGGAGGGTAGGTGTGACGTGATCACGGACTGACTGAGAATTAATCTATAGGCATCTTTCCAGAAGGCTAAGATAACTAGCAATCTCTTTTCCTTTGTGATTTTAGCAAGTTTTTATTCTGGGCCTCCGTTTTCAAGTTTATGTGTTTTTTAAAAAATGAGTTGAACTTACCATTTCGAAATCTTCCCAACTGTGCCATTCATGGTTTCCTTAACAGAGAAAGTAAACTATTTATGAATTTCTTAACAGAAAATACAGGGAAGGTCCCCGGAGCATATTTAATTGATACACATTCTCCATTCCCAAGAAGGGCAGTGACTTCCCTGGAATTAATTGAACAGAGTTGTGGTTGGGCCAGGAATAGAGTGCAGCCCACATTTACAATTCAGTCCCTGTTGGGTGCAGTAGACCATCGGTCCTTCGTAAGAATGTGTTTACCTGTTACCAGGAATAAATGAAACAAAGCGGGTCTCTACCTGGAATGTGGTCTTATAGTTATGTCAGCAGCAGGACTTAGGTTCTTGGCCTATTTTGGGCCCCAGATTCTGCTGAGAATTAGTGTCCTGGCCCCCAGAGGAGATTGCCGCTGGAACACCTTTGCTGTTTATATGAAGCAGAACATTATCTGGAAGCTGCCTCCTTCAGCCTTGAAACAAGTAAATCTAGCAATGTATTTCAGTAATCCCCAAAACCTCCTAGGAGGTCTAGACTCCAGCTGTTCAGAGAGGCTTGGTTGACCACCAAATTCTAGTACAGCATCAGGACACTCCAGTTTTGTTGTGAGCAGTTTAACCTCTGAAGTGTAATCAGTGCTGTAGCCCACAGTCATGGGGAGAAGCAGGGTCGGTGGAGCCCTCTGAATATCATGAGCAGGTCATCTAATTTGAGTTGAACAGCTGAGGCTGATTCCATACCTGGGATGGCAGCAGAGCCTTGTGATCCTGAAGGCCTCCTGGTGGGAAATTTGGGGAAGTCAGTGGCAGTAGAAGCAGTACTTTGGCTTCCTTATGTATCAGTTGCCCCTTTGTCAATTGGGCTTCTGGCTTCTCAGCCCTATACATGGTGCTCCCAGATGGGTGTCTTAGCAGAGCCCTTTAGGGTGGGATTTCAGGGCACACCCTCCAAGTGGCTTGCTGTGGAAGACAGCTTGGTGTCTGACTTCATTGAAGGGTACTAGATTCTGAGAGGACTTCATACAAGGGCCATTTGGTCTCTTAATGGGATATCAGTTTTCCACATAGTCACAGGGGGTTGTCATCAGAAGGTCTAACAGTAGTCGGTTGTGTATTGAGATCACAAGGGGCAGTTTGTGACTTTGAGAATCCCCCCACCCCTATACACATGCATACCCCTTTATTGAAGAACAGAAGTTTCAGGTTCTGAAAATGCAGGTCTGGGAACACTTTGTAAAGTATATGTTTGTCTGACCGCTATGCTGTACACCTGAAACCAATACAAAATAATACTGAAAGTAAACTGTAATTGAAAGATAAAAATGTTTTTTAAATGCCAGTCTGTTAGTGATTGGCAATGGGATTGCATCATCAGGAAAATTATCTTCATCTTTTCTTCAAAATAGTAAAGTCCTAAAGGTTTCAAGTCCCTTCCCTGGCTGTGGAGTTAGTGTAGGAGGCTCAGCATGTCCTGAAAAGTGCTGCCCCAGGCTTTGAATCCAGCTCTCATTTGGGATCTTGTGGGCAGTCTCTGAGCTTGCTGTCCTATTTGTAAAGCCTAGTAGAATTAAGTGTAGTGATTTTGTGCGTGATATAGGGCCTGGCGCTTAAATGGGTGCTTGCTTTTGTGCACACTCATTTAATGAGTCCCTGCTCTCTGGAGAAGCGGATAGGGATTTGATAGAGCCTAAAACATGCCTCTTCCCTTCATGGAATTCACAGACCAGTGGAGACTGCAGACAGTTACAGCCCAGGAAGGCAACTGCAGGAGTGCATTAAACGGGGGGAGAAGGGACATTTTAACCCACTCTGGAGTGTTGGAAGTTTGGGGGAGGAAGTAAGCTGGAACTTGAAGGGTGACGAGGAGTTAGCTAAGCAAACTCTTTTGGCAGCAGTAGCAGGGAATAGGTAAGGGGCATAGGTAGGTGCTAACTTGAGGCAGATGAAGTTTATTATTAGCTCTCACATCGGACCTGGACCTGAAGTAGATTCTGGTGCGGCATGCCTTGGTAAAATAGCAGTACTGTTGACATTTTGGGTGGGCTAATTCTTTGTTGTGCTGGGGCTATCCTGTATATTGTAGAATGTTTAGCAGCATCCCTGGCCTCTATCCACTAGATGCCACTATCACCTATGACAGTACAAAAATGTCTCCAGATATTGCCAAATGTCCCTTGTGGGGCAAAATCATCCTCAGTGGAGAGCCATTGTTCCAGGGTTCTGAACACTCCCACTTATTTAAATCTTATAGCACCTGCCCACTTAGCACTCTCAGCTTACTTGGTATGCAGGTGGGTGAACACCTGCCAGCTTGTGGTTCTTTTCAAATCTTGCTCGGTTCTAGCTCAGTGGTTCTCAACCTGTGGGTCGCGACCCCTTTGGCAGTCAAACGACCCTTTCACTGGGGTCGCCTAAGACCATCCTGCATATCAGATATTTACATGACGATTCATAACAGTAGCAACATTACAGTTATGAAGTAGCAACGAAAATAATTTTATGGTTGGGTCACAACATGAGGAACTGTATTTAAAGGGCCAGAAGGTTGAGAACCACTGTTCTAGCTGGTAAAAAGGTGATGCTTTCTTTCACTTCCTAGTATGTATCCCATCCCAGCGGTGAGAAGTTGTAAGGCTGCCATTGGAAGGGAACGGCGGATGAAGAGTGGTTCTCTGTAGATGGGGAAGGTTTGTAGTAATTCTCATTTGACTCAGACTTCAGTGCTGGTGGCAGCGGTGTCTGTACCTGTTCAAGGCAACATGGCGGGAATACACTTTTATATTTAACTAGAGGCCTGGGGTGGGATCCCTCAGACTGGCTTGCGGGGATCGGGCCGAAACCCACTCTCTGACATCCCCCAAGGGGTCCTGGATTGCGAGAGCGTGGTTCTCGGGTGACGCACCCTGGAATTGGGCTCCCTCCTCTCTGGTTCTGGGTGTTGTGTCACCCAAAAACTGCAGCTGCCAAGTCACCGCAGCTCTGCAGCTCCTGCATTGAGCACCTGCCCCCTGGTGGTCAGTGCATGCCATAGCTACCAGTTGGAGCATCTGCCCCCTGGTGGTCAGTGCACGTTCATAGCTACCGGTCGGACAGTTACTTAGGCTTTTATATATAGAGATAGTTGTCAGCATGGATATTAGTGTGTGGCACACATTGACTCAGCAGTGTCCAACTGTGGGCATAGAGCAAGGCCTCACAGACCCTTCTGGAATAGCTTCAGACTTCTTTCCAAACCCAGTTAGCAGTTGTTTTTTCCCTTTCCCATGTTGGGCTTGGGTGGACCCTCTCTTAATGCTGTTCTCTAGGGAACTAAATATATTTCACCTCCTCTTCATACCACATTCCTCTCCTATTCCTTGAATGGGCAGATTAAAACATATTTCAGTTGGATTAATTAGAATGACTACCTCAGCCTAATTGCTTACTTGCTGCTACTTTTAATCATTGCTGCATGGTCAGTGGTTGTGGTGGCCATGTGCCCGGAGACCCAGGCCTTAGCCATCTGTCTGGAAATGACTATCTCACCCAGCCATGGGATAGGAAGAGGGGAGCTCAGCCTGTGACTTCTAGTAAATAGTTGATAATGGGGTGGAGTGGGCACCCCTGTCAGTTCTGGGCTAAGGGCTGATCTTGTTCATCGGGTTGAAAGCAAAATTTAGGTTTCTGGCTTAAAATAGTTGGGAAAGTAGGGCATATAGGTCTGGGCCACATCTCTTGTGTGGAATCTTTCAATTCCATGGGAGGGGAAGGAACCTCAGGATCAAGTCAGGGCTGTGCATTCTTAGGAGGCACTCTGGGCCAGGGGAGTTGGCTGACCTTGGTTCTGCCAGGCCTGACAAGAAGGCAGAGGGCAGCGAAGGAAAGGAAGCTAGTAGGCAAGCCATGGTCTTAATCTTGGAGCTCAGAGCAAGCAGAAAATAAATAGGCCATAAAAATTGCAGGGTTGGATGGGCATTTTCAGCTGGGCAGTTGTGTGCAACTGTTGCTGAGGTATTGCTGAGGCTATTGAAGCCCCAAGGAGAGATTGGATCTTGTCACCAGGAAACATAGTGGGCTTTCTTCCTAGCCCTCATTACCTACTCTCCTATCCAAAATAAAAAGCAAAAGCCAGTGTAGCACACTGAAACCAGGAGTTTAATTATAGTTCCAGAGTCACCACCTTAGCTGTTGACCTTGAGCAAGTTACTTAACCTCTCTGGGCCTTAGTTTTTCCTCTGCCAGATAGGGCTGTTAATACCATAGGGTTGTTATCGAAGATTGAATCTCTTTCACAGTATGGAATGCTTGAAGTTTAGGTAAAGTGTCTCTGGAGATGAGCTGCCTTCTCTGCTCAGCTACTCCATCTATACCTTGGTGTATACAGAATTGGGGCTCAGAGAAGGTTGACCTTCTTTGTAGGAAGCTTTCCTACAAATTAGGCAATGTGTCTTCTTGGAGGTTTGCCCAGGTGGCTGACCTGCTACCCCCCAAAAACCTAAGCTTCTCAGCCATGCAAAGATCATTGGATGCTGCCCAGAGCAGGTGGCACCAGCCAGAGGGAGGCGGTCACAAGGCCAATATCTTGGCCAGTCCCTTCATCTCTGGTTTTATCCTGCGCCAGGCAGGGCACAGAGTAGAAGGGGAATCGTGGCCATTTTGGAAATGTGCCTTAACAACTCAGTCTCCAAGACTGTCCCCTAGAGGAGAAGTGTACAGTCCCTTATCATTGAGTTTTTCAGATTTCTCATTTATCCTGCACCTAATCCTCTGAGGAATGACTTGCTGTTTTGCAGATGTAGAAACAGGCTTCAAAGCAGTAAAAAAGTTGAGCTCAACACACACGTCATTGTGTCCACTGTATGCAGAGATGAGTAAGAACTTTGCAAAGCTTTGTCTTGTAGGGAAGATATTTTCCATAAGGCTACATGTAGTAGTAGAGAGGCGTGGGTGGGCAGTGAGGGGGACCCAGCCCTGGGGAGTTGAGGGGTCACTCTAATGCACAAAGCTAGTGGATGACAGAGCCAGGCTCTCTGAGTCTTGATGCTTGCAGCATACTACTCACTGCTGCTTGAGGGGGCTCAACCCAGGCAGGCTGACCAGCATGAGGTATTTCTTCCTTTCTCTCCTCTATGAAAACAAAAGAGCAGGAGGCACTGGACTTTGCTTTATGCCCAGGGTAAAGCTGGACCCAGGCATATTAAGTTTCAAGTTGGCAGACTAGGACTTGCAAACAGGTTCTCTTATGACAAGTAGGTTCCTTAGTAGTAAGTAACTTGCCCTCGTGGTCTCTGCTGGACACTCTCTGCTGAAGGTTGGCCAGACGAGTGTCCCTTGATCAGGACTTTGAGCCTCCCGCTCCCAGCAGAGCGCGATACTCTGAGGAGGGCTTAGTACATGGTGTCACAACTGCCAGGAAGTTCTAGAAGACCAGTGCTAATGAGCTTTTCAGGAGGGTCAGTGCCATGGTCATTTCTGTAGGCCTCTGTAGTCCTACCTCCTCACTAGTTCTGAGGCCTGGGCTCTGTGGCTTGTTTTACATTCTAGAGCCTTTGGGACACGGGGACAGTCAGGATTTGGCAAACATCTGGATTTTCTCCAGAACTATATTAAGGGAATGGTTCCTTGTTGGAGATGGGAAGTCAAGTCCCTTGGTATAGTGCCTGCAGTAAAGTCAAGCAGATGGATAACACTTGTTAACAGTAGGAAAGGCTGCCTGTAGCCAGTACTGCAGATTTAGGCCATAGAAATGAGCCTTGAGAACCTTTGGGGAATTGGATTTAGCTCTTTGAGGAAGTCCTGTGTTTACATGGGACTGTCTTGCAGCCCAGATCTGCACTTCCCCAGTGTGGAGTGCAAGAACGTAGGAGGGGACCTCGCCCTGGGAATAGGGCCCAGGAGGCCTCTGCTGCTGGCAGATCCCTGCATGGGGAGCCTGGATCATGTCTTCTTGGTAAGGAATCTACCCCAGGTTCTGGCTTGCCCCAGGGTGGTCCAGGGCCCTCTGGTTTGTGTCAAATGTTTAGTCAATGGGAGTGGGGTGCCATGCTCTCAATGAGGGCATGTGATGGGGCTTGGGAAGCTGAGTTTGCTTCCAGAATATCAATAGGAACGATGTTAGCTGTGAAGAGGACAGTCATCTACATTTATTGGTCGGTGAGCAGTTTTAAAAATCATGTGTCTGATGAAAACAGGAATTTGAGTGTCACAGCTGTCTTCAAGATTTTGGATTCCCCCAAATGGAGGTTTTTTTAAAGCTTTTATTTTTCAAGTAGACAGATCCTCTTTGTGAACATTGCAGTCAGTGCTGTCAGCGTTTAACTTGGATTCCTCTGCAAGCCAAAGGGTGAGGGACAGGGAGAGGAGGAGGAGGAGGAGATACTTGTCACCAAGGTCTGGCCTGAGTCACTCCAACTGTCTCCAAAGTGACAAAGGTGTACCCTTTCGGTGGCCCTTGAAAAGAAGGGCTCCTCGCTTGTACAGGGGGATTCCTGCTTTGGCTTCTGCCTTAAGGCTCTTCTTTGCCTCATCTCAGGTTTTCCTTGCATGGTTTCAGAACAGAAATGTTATTTACCTCTCAAATAATGGGGCCCACAGCGGCAGTAAGACCTGGGCCATATTTTTCCTCCTTTCCCCCCCAAGGAACCTTGGTTGTCTGATTACTCTCCATGCTCACATGCTCTGTGTTTTTTTTTCAGTGGATATGCTGCTGATGAAATCACTCACTGCATACGGCCTCAGGACATCAAGGAGCGAAGAGCAGTCATCATCCTCAGGAAGTAAGTGCCCTGGTCTGGCACCTGCTTGCCTGCCTGTCTGAAGATCTAGGTTTGGGTTGCCTTAGAACTCGGCTCCTTTGTATCAGTGGCATGGCAGCGTAAAACCTGAGAGAAGGAAAAGGCTTGTAAGGTCTGGGGGGTTTTGTGTGTTTTTATTTATTGACTAGAGGCCCGATGCACAAAATTCCTGCAAGAGTAGGCCTTCCTTCCCCCGGCTGCTGGCACCAGCTTCCCTCTGGCACCCGGGACCCGGGCTTCCTCACAGCCCGGCTTTGTCCGGAAGGTCGTCTGGAAGGACGTCCAGTCTAATTAGCATATTACACTTTTACAATTATAGATTTTTAGAGAGAGAAACATGCACTTGTTTTTCCATTTATTTATACATTCATTGGTTGGTTCTTGTATGTGCCCTGCCTTGCGATTGACCTTGGCATATCAGGACGATGCTCCACCAAGCTACCTGGCCAGGGCAGGTCTGTTTTTTTTTAATTCTGTGAGGATAAAGTTGTTGTATCTCTTCTTCATCAGCAAATTAAGTTCTGTGGCTATTTAACTAGTGATTTTAGTTAGGACTGAGCAAAAGCCCATGCTCTCGGTGTTTATGGGAACAGTCTTAAGATAAGATTTGGGGAACACTTTTCCAGAACCTCCCCTTTTCCCCACTTCCTTGGTTCTGATTTGTCATGTGTTTCTGTTGATTATTTTTAGACTGTGCCTTAGCAGCCTGCTTTTAAAATGTCCGTGTTTTCACTTTGGGAAGGAGCAGAGAGTGAGGAAAGGAAACGAAGGTGGGAGGTTAGGCTGCAGTGTTCAGCAGGTGCATAACTTGGGCCTGGCTGTTCCTCTTCTCTGGCCAGGGAGTCAGGAGTGTACTGACCAATACTGCCAAAACTAGCCTGACCTGCAGTTCTTTCTGCTCATGGGGTGAATGGACTGAGCCAAGCAGACACTGGGTCAAGATAAACTTGCCTTTAGAATGGAATCCTGAGGGGCAAGGTAATTGCCCAAGATCAGATAAGACATCAGTGAGCAGAGCAGGACTGGTGCTTAGACCCAAGCTGGCGCAGGATGTCCTTAAAGGTTGCCATCTTTTTTGTTGTTGTCAATCCTCCCGACAATATTTTTTTCCATTGATTTTTAGAGAGAGTGGAAAGAAGTCGGGGGAGGGAGAGAGAAACATTGATGTGAGAGAGAGACATCGATTGGTTACCTCCCACATGCACCCCAACCAGGGCCAGGGATTAAACCTGCATCCCAGGTACGTGCCCTTGACTGGGAACCAAACCCATGACCCTTTGGTCCGTGGGCCAATGCTCTAATCACCTAGAAACACCAGCCAGGGCTTTTTAAAAATTTTTTTTAATATTCTTTAGAACAGTTTCAGATTTACAGAAAATGGTGAAAATAGTACTAAGAGGTCCCATGTACCAAGCACCCCATGCCCCCCTATTTGTTAACATATTATGTCAATGTGGTATTTGTATTACAATAAAAAAATTAATATAGATCCAGGATTCTTAATTAAAGTCCATATTTTATTTAGATTTCCTTAGTTTTTTCCTAATGTACTTTTGTTCTAGGATTCCACATTACATTTAGTTGTCATCTCACCTTAGACTACTTGACGGTGACTGTTTCTCAGATTTGCCTTACATATGATAGCATTGATAGTCAGGTATTTTATATAATGTTTTTCAATTGGGATTTGTCTCATGTTTTCCTCATGGTTAGACTGGGGTTATAGGTTTTGAAGAGGAAGACCACAGAGGTATAAAGCACCACTCTCTTCAGTGTTGTGTCCAGGGCACAGGACCTTGATATTGAGCTTGATCACCTGGCTGAGGTGGTGTTAATCAGATTTCTGCCTGCTAAAGTTATACTATTTCCCTCTGTCCATACTGTCTCCTTAGGAGGGAGGTCACTGTGTGTAGCACACGCTTAAAGAGTGGGGAGTTAGCTCCTCCTCTGTAAGGGGGAGTAGCCCCACAAAGTACTTGGAATTCTGAACAGGAATTGTTTCTTCTCCCCTACTTGTTTATGTCTTTACTAGAGGCCCGATGCACGAAATTCGTGCAAGGGGCTTGGCCCTCGCAGCTGCGGCAGCTTGCCTCGGCCCTCGCAGCCCTGGCTTTGTCCAGAAGGTCATCTGGAAGGACTTTCCGGAAGGACGTCCAGAAGGTTGTTCGGCTGTCCAGTCTAATTAGCATATTACGCTTTTATTATTATAGATTCAATCATTTACTTATTGGTATGGATTCATGGGTAGTTATTTTATGCTCAGCTTGTTCTAGGTTTTGCCTTTAAGTCCTTATTTCTGACTTGCCTTTTTTTTTTTTTTAACTTCAGTCAATAACTTTGGTATCTTGACCCTTTGGGCCTAGAACTTCAGAATAATGTGATGAAGTCTCTTTGGTGTGGTTCTGCCACTTCATCAAGTCAAAACTGTGAGTCTGTGTTTTATCATATGTAGAATGGAGATGATTTAGACCTATGGTGCAGGTAGAGTACGAGGCATATTTGGGAGCTCCAGCACGGGTCAGCTTGGCAGCTGGCAGCCTCTCTGTTCTAGCCAAAAGAATGTTCCCAGAATTCATCAGAAGAAGGGTTTTTATCTGCCTTTCTACTTTCTTTTCCTGTGGTTCCCAGCACAGGCCAAAACCCAGAATCTGGAAGTAATGGAGTCCAGAGCCTACCCTTTCTGGCCTCTCCAGTCATTTCTTCTCAGTCTATACTTGACACCTTCCAAGTGCAGCCAGGGACAAGTGGTCTGCCCAGAACGAACTACAAAGGAACTCCTAGAGTGATACAGAACCAGAGCAGAACTTTTCAGGTGTTCCTGCCAAGCTTCTCAAAATAGGTTATCTCAGAAATCTTCACTGGAGGTGCAAATGGAGGTGGCCATCAGCTGTTTCCTGCTTTTTGTAAATTTATTTTTTTTAGTTTTTAAAAAATATTTTTATTGATTTCAGAAAGGAGGGGAGAGGGAGAGAGAGAAACAGCAATAATGAGAGAGAATCATTGATTGGCTGCCTCCTGCACAGCCCACACTGGGGATAGAGCCCACAACCAGGGCATGTGCCCTGACTGGGAATCAAACCCTGATTCATAGGTCGATCCTCAACTACTGAGCCGCATAGGTCGGGCTGTTTCCTTCTTGAATGGTGTCTCCCATACCTGGCTGCCTGGGATGACTAAGTTAGATACTCCTTGTAGAGCTATTTGTCTATACTCTTACCAGTTCCTCCAAGAAGCTCTTTAGCCAGCTGGGCCCCTGGCAGTAGTCTGACCTCAGATAATGGCTATTATAGGTGACTGAGGGTCTTTGACCTTCTGACTTGAGTGGTCCCAAGAGCCAGCCAGGTACTAGGCTGGAGGGCAGACACACAGCTTTTGGTGTGAGAGGGCTGAAGAGTGGGAAAGTGCTCCCCAGCTTCCCCAGGCAGCTGAGGCACAGGCATCTCTGTTTATAGAATAAAATTCAAAATCCTTGTTGGTCTCTGCCTATCCATCCATCCTCACTTCTACTCCTCACTTATGTTACAGTGCCTGCTTTTCCTAGTATGGTCCTTGGACTTCTGTCCTGGGCTCTTACAACAGTGTGGTCTCTGTTGGGAATGCTTTCCCATATAACACGTTCAGCTTCTGACCTACACCCTACCCTCCAAATGGTCCACATTCACACACTGAACGTTGGTTAACCTAGCCATCCTTCAAGGCTCAGATGTTGGTTGTTTTGACATGCAGGGAGCATTATATACACACATGTGGCCCTCTTATACCCTTCCTGCTTAAATTGTCACAGCCAGTACACTTAGCATTGTGAATTTCCAAATCTGCTTTCTGTAGGGACAGGGAGAGCCTTATCCATCTGGGGCTCAGCATGAGGCCTGGCTCAGAGGAAGACAGTTCAGGCTGAAGAGGAGCAGCTCCAGAGTAGCTGTAGGGGCTTGTCTTGGAAAAGGACAAGCTGGTGACAAGAGGAAAAGGGGAGCATCCTGGCCCAGGCATTTCCCAGACATCAGGGATATGGCCTTAGTGGGGCACCTGGCTAACTTGATGTCTTTTGTGAAGTCACGTTTAAATGAGTAGAATTTGGGCATTGAGCTGGCCCTACTCATAGGCAGAGGGGTATAGCCAGTCTGTCTCCCGACTAAGTTCAGGAAAAGATTACACAGACTGCTGAGCAAAGGCCTAGGGCAGTGGTTCTCAACCTTCCTAATGCCGCGACCCTTTAATACAGTTCCTCATGTTGTGGTGACCCCCAACCATAAAATTATTTTCGTTGCTACTTCATAACTGTAATTTTGCTACTGTTATGAATCGTAATGTAAATATCTGATATGCAGGATGTATTTTCATTGTTACAAATTGAACATAAAGCATAGTGATTAATCACAAAAACAATATGTAATTATAGATGTGTTTTCTGATGGTCTTAGGCAACCCCTGTGAAAGGGTCGTTCGACCCCCAAAGGGGTCGCGACCCACAGGTTGAGAACCGCTGACCTAGGGCCTCGTGTCACTGGCTCAGGTCAGTCAGCTGGAATGGTCTTTCTTAGGGCCTTATGGGGAGGAAATGGAGGGGTGGCTGCCAAGTGCTTTCTGGCTCAACAAAATGCAGCTCCTTTGAATATGGGTGATGCTGAGTCATCATGCACGTGGTGCCATCATTTCTCACAGGGAGGACTGGGATGTTGGGGTGACCTGAGAGCTTCTGTAGGAGGGAATCTTTGGGCTGCAGCTTAGCTTTATAATACTAGTATGTCTGGGGGCACTACCAGTAAATGGCTGAGTGAGGCCTAGAACCTGGCTCTCCTGGTGCTCAGTCTTGTGGTCCTTTGGTGGATGGCACAGTGGCACACCCCACGTACGCCCTGCTCCTGCCCTAGTGTGTCACTGGGGTGTATGCTATGATTTTAAGAAACAAACTCACATACAGAAGGGCTTTCTTGCTTCTGCTATGCAAGTAGAGAGCTGATTGATGAGAGTGTTTTACGTGAGAAGGGGGCTGCTCTACAGAGAGTGGGTTGCAGGCTGGTCAGCTCTTCAGCATCCCCCAGTTTCCCTGAATGTCTCTGTTTCCCAGTCCACTGAGGGCAAGCTGCCCAACATGCATCTTTGTCAGTCATTGGTAACCCAGGCAGGAAGCTGGACCTAACCGTCATGAAGGTACAGTTAAATTTTTAAATTACTGCTTAGGGAATGAAGCGGCTCATCAATTTCTAGGGTATAGCAATTCATCAGGGCAGGTGGTAGTGGTGTCCCATTTTTTTCCGTGATTCTCTGGTGTGCAGTCTTCTGTAGGACCTTGTGCGCTGCCCCAGGCCACGCACTCACCTACTAGGTCCTAGGCATCGGGTAGAGCGCTGCCTGCACATTAATTCTCGGAGTAGAGTGTGAACACTGGAAAGGGGTCAGGTCGGAAGTGAACTGCCTCCGGTGATCCAGCAAGTTTGGAATGATCTTTGACGGGGAATTCCTGACTTGGAAACATTAAGCATCTACCATGCACAAGGCACCCAAGGCAACTTAGGTCCCTTAGTGGTTGGTATGTGATAGGTGGGCATTTTGCATGCCAGTGCAGCACAAGCTGAATGAGTACTGTTCTAGAAGCACAGAGTGTGTTCCCTGGATATAAATACCTGGGGGAGCAGGTATTTATATCCAGCACCAGCCAGGTGGCTCAGTTGGTGGGAACGGGTTCGATTCCTAGTCAGGGCACATATCTAAGTTGCAGGTTCAATCCCGGGTCAGGGCATGTACAGGAGACAACGCATCGGTGTTTCTCTCTCTCCCCGCCCCTTTCTCTTGCTCTAAAAAAATTTCAATAAAAACATATCCTTGGGTGAGGGTTAAAAAAAAAAATTATATCCAGCTTGGTAGGTTTGGGGAGGGTGTTTAAGAAAGGCTTGAGAGCATGCCCATGCCTTTCTTCCCTCTCGTGTATCTCCTGAACCTGTTTCCAAGGCCCTTTTCTCTGATTTTCCATGAACCAGAGCACCCCCGCATGGCTCACTTCTTTCCTGTAACATTTTTGAGAGCCAATGTAGCCCTGCCCAGGCTTTCCTGTTGCTTCTTATAACCTAAGCTCTTCCTCATTTCACTGTCTCTAGCTTTAATAAACGTATTCTCAAAATTTAAAAAGCTTGGTGATCTGGCTCCTGTGCTAGACACTGCTTGTTAGGCAGAAATGATAAGCTCAAGGTCAGGAAGTTTAGAGGACCTCTGTAGCTGAGGGGTGATATGGGGGAAGGAGGCCTTGGATCAACACTTGATCTCAGGAGAGAGCTCTGGACTCTCATGGACTTCTAGTTGGTGACCAGGGCATCCAATCCATTAGTCTTCAGGAATCCCGAGGCTTGTATACAAGACTTTATTCCTGCACGGGGTGCTCTACAATTCACTACATAAAGTGGCTCAGGGAATACACTTTCCGGTCAAATGGTGCTCATCTCAGAGTAGGCTGAAGCTGGAAGAAGCAGCTTGAGTATCATTTGCCAAGTGTTAACCAAGGCTGGTATGAGCTGGGCTCTGTGCCAGTACCAGGAAAGGGGTCTCTTCTCATTCCCTTGTCCTTTGGGGAAAGGCAGACATTTAGCACTTCACCAGGGAGTGGCCTGGAAGGCTTTCCAGAGACATGCTACCTGAAGGTGGTCAAGGATGTGTGGGCTTCACACAAGCACAGAAGAGGCTTAGGGGCAAAGACAGTTCAGGCAGAAGAGATGCTCTTTACAGAGGCTTGAAGTCGGGATTCTGAGGTAGTCCATTCTGGAACACAGAGTAGAGATGGGTTGGAGCAATTGATACAATCTAAGATCGTCAGAAAAGACTTCGTGCTGTGCAGAGAAATCTGGAGGTGCTGGGGAGCTGCTGAAGCATGTGAGCAGTGGGGCGAGGGATTTGCAGGCGAGAAATTGTCTGGAGGAGGCTGAGCTAAATGGCTTATTTGGTCATTCAGGTCAAGGGGTCTCAGGGGTCAAGGGAGACCCTCCCTGAAAGCTCTAGTGTGAGGCTGTGTGTGTGGATGAGCTGAAGGGAGACTGGAAGGCACACTCAGCTTTGCCCCTGAGGAATGGGGATGAGGAGACAGCTTTTGGCCAGGCCTGAGACATCATCCCCCTGAGACTCCTGCCATCACTTCTGTCTTCACAATTCTTGTCTCCTGTGCCAAGGGTTAGCCCACCTTTCTTCTCTGGTCCAATGAGTGTGTGTCCACATGCATACACCCTACCCATTGGTCACTCAGTAGACAAGGGCGTACTCAGATATGCCCGCCACATTGCTTCCTGCCTCCCTTGGGAAAGCCAGGCTTTATAGCACAAAAGGGTGCTTGGTGAGGGTGGAGCCAGAAGTTGGAGTGGTTGGCAGCAGACCCTGAAGTTCAGACTGGTGGTGGTGGTCTGTCTGCACTGCCCTGTTCTGCTGCAGTGATGCAAACCCACCTGGGCTTCAGAAGCCATCGTAGGGTTGTAGCTGTGTGACTTAGGCAAGTGACTTGGTCTCCAGTTCAGCATTGCTTCCCACCTTTGCAGTGGGTATAAGCCTCCCTAGCAGCTTCTCTGGAGGATTCCGAGTGATAAAGGAACAGAGTCAACTCCCCATCCCCTCAGGTCACGTGGTAATGTGTTACATTAATGCTGTCATCCTCCCTTTGTTCTGGCTTCCCCTATACCAGTGGTTCTCAACCTTCCTAATGTCTCAACCCTTTAATACAGTTCCTCATGTTGTGGTGACCCCCAACCATAAAATTATTTTCGTTGCTACTTCATAACTGTAATTTTGCTACTGTTATGAATCGTAATGTAAATATCTGATATGCAGGATGTATTTTCATTGTTACAAATTGAACATAATTAAAGCATAGTGATTAATCACAAAAACAATATGTAATTATAGATGTGTTTTCTGATGGTCTTAGGCGACCCCTGTGAAAGGGTCGTTCGACCCCCAAAGGGGTCGCGACCCACAGGTTGAGAACCGCTGCCCTATACCAAGGCTCAGTCCCTGCCTTGTTAATCCTCGCTTCATGTGCCTGTGGTGCCTTGCTGTGACTGGGGGATGCTGACTCAGATCTGTGATGCAGGTCTTCGTTCCTGTTGCCACCTGAGGGGGCCCAGACCTTACTGCTAGAACTGGGCTTCCTTACTCCAAATCTGTGGCTTTGCACACTGAACCTTAAAGGGCCTGGCCTGCTCCCTGGCCTTTGAAGAGGGGTTTGGTCTGAAGTTAAGCTGCTGGTGGGCTCTCGGCTTGGAATCTGGATCTAGCCTGGCTTCCTGCAGCTTTGTGGCTTTTTGGATGTGGAGGGAGGGCAAGAGCTTCTCCAGCGTTTCTGAGATGTACTGTAACAGCCCCAGGGGATGGGTTGGGCGCCCTTTGGAGCCCCAAAGCTTATACTGTCCCCAAAATGAGTACATGATTCTGGACTCTGGTAGGGCCACTTCCGATTATCCCTCCTCTGAGGGCTGCCCCGTGATAACAACAGAACAGTCATGTGCGGAGAACAGTACCCTTTCCTCACTTAGGCAGCTAGAGAGCAGCAGAGCCAGTCCAGGTCCCTGTCCTGTCTCTCCAGTCTCAGCTGGTTGTAACTTTCTTCCCAGCTTCTCCAGCAGTCCTAGAACCCTAGTGAGGGGCCACCACCACTGTGCCCGGGCTGCCCAGGCAGGCCACTCAGCTAGTAAGCAGCTTTAGGGCGGGGCAAACCGGGACTTGGCCTGTGCCAGCGTGGCAGGATGTGCTTGTGTTTTCTGGCCCCCGAGGTGTGTAGTTTGGGCTCTCCTCGTGGTGGCTCTGCTGCTCTCTTGCCATCTGTCACTAATCCAAGGAAACAACTCCAGGGAGCTAGGCCCTGCCCACCAGGGCTTTCTGTATCAGGGGCTTTTCTGCCCTGAGTGTGTGGTCCCTGGCACCTGTGGCATCTTAGTGTAGGATTAGTTTAGTGGTGCCAAAAGGAGATGTTCCTCCATGAGGCTTCAGACCCTTGGAGTCCTTGCAGTCAAGCTTAATGGCTAATGTCTTGTTTGGTCTTATCTCTGCTGCCTGGACCTCTCAGCATAGGGATATGAGGTCTGGCCTGATAAAGAGGGCTTCGGGGCTCAGGTGATTCTAATTCCCACCTTCATGTCTGGGTGTTGCCCAGCACTACCTCTTCCTGGTGCTTCTCTAAAGAATCCTAGGACTTATCTTTGGTTTCTAGACCCTCAGAACTAAAAGAGGCCTTAGAGCCAGTCACATTTCCTTCTTTGCTCAGATGGGGAAACAGGCCCAGAGAGGGATGGTGATCAGGGCTGGATTTTCTCTTGCTATTCGGTCCTCCTTCCCTGAGCCCAGAATGGAGGCTGAGGCTGGAGAAGCTGTGCCCCTCTGGCCTCTGCCTCTGTGAGGCCAAAGCAAAGGGGCAGGGAACAGTTATGTTGCCTTCCTACCCGCTCGTTTGAGCCTGAGGGCGTCAGAACATGTGTTCCGAGCTAGAAGGTGCCCCCTGCTGCTCTTAGAGAAGACCCCTGCCCAGGTTCAGAGCCCTGTGACTCTTGCCTGGCTGGCTTGGAGTCTCACCTAGGCTTAAACCCAGGGGTCCTCAAACTTTTTAAACAGGGGGCCAGTTCACTGTCCCTCAGACCGTTGGAGGGCCGGACTATAGTTTAAAAAAAAAACTATGAACAAATTCCTATGCACACTGCACATATCTTATTTTGAAGTAAAAAAACAAAACGGGAACAAATACAATATTTGTATTTGCATGTGGCCCGCGGGCCGTAGTTTGAGGACCCCTGCTTAAACCTTTCTCCAAGACTTCCCGGACACGTGACTTACTATTCTGACCCAGTTTCCCCCATCTATTTATAGCAGGCCAGCCAGTAGGGGTAGGGGGAGCTGCGAAGACTGGGTGCAGTTGTTACCAAGAATGCCAGGCAGACTAGGGCAAGGCAGCCTCTGATCCTAGCCCCCCTTCCTCTCAGTAATTTTGTGAGGATGTCTTTTGAGTCTTGCCCTGATCACAGCACCTTTTTCCTCAGAACCAAATTACTACTTTGTGCCCAGCAGACTATGGAAAATTGCCTTTGGTGCCTTCTGCCAGCTATGCACCAAAGACCCCCCATCCCAGGCCTCTCTCCTCTCTCCTGTACCAGCCTGACTTGCCAGCCTTCTCTGTACCGTGCAAGGAGCCTTGGGCTTCTTTGAGGTTTCCCTACTCTGGCTTCAGATCACTGCCCTGATACCTCCCTGCCCAGCTTCTCCAACCCCTCTTCCTTGACTCTGCTTGCATTTTCTTCCTTTACTAGGTAGGCATTGTATTCCTTGAAATTCACACCCAGTGCTCGGTGAGAACTTGCCTTCAAAAGCCCTTGGCCTGGTCAGTATCCTGGAATAAACAGAAGCTGCCAGGTGGCTGTGGTGGGGTGAGAGCCAAGTACATGAATGTGGAGTTGGGCCTGGGCTCTCCTGGCTCTGCCACAGCCTCTGTCCCTGAGTGAGAGTGGGGGAACTCTTACTCTGTTCCCCTCCAGCCCTTCCATAGGCCTGGCCAGGACCTTCCTGCCTGGTATTTAGGCAAGGCTGAAGTTGTCTGCTGGAGTATGTTGGTGCCCACCAGAGGGCTCTCAGTCCTCTGGCAGGTGGAAATGTCCAGAGAACCTCTGGGCCTGAGGCTGCTTCATCCAACTCAAAGAGTGCCCTGGGATCTTTTCCCTGGGGCAGCCGATTTCTGTCATGGAAGTCTTCATACGGAAGTATTCTTGTTCCCTGCTCCTAAGCCTGAACTTAAGAAGTGTCTTTGGAAGTCAGCCAGACCAATCCTTAGTTGAACCACAAGAGACAGAGGCACAGAGCCGAGCTTCTGGCCTCCCCACTCAGCCTGCCTGGAGAGAGAATTGGTCTGCTAGGATCCATACCCCCTCCAGAGGCCCCGTGATGACCCGATGCCTATTTCTTTTGCAGGACTAGATTAGACGCGCCCCGGTTGGAGACCAAGTCCCTGAGCAGCTCCGTGTTACCACCCAGCTATGCTTCAGATCGCCTGTCAGGAAACAACAGGGACCCTGCTCTGAAACCCAAGCGGTCTCACCGCAAGGCAGACCCCGACGCTGCTCACAGGTACTCAGCCTCGGACCCTCAACAAGGCTAGCAAAGCAGCCCCATGGCCTAGCTTCAGGGTGAGATGGATAGGGAAGCGCCTGGGATAGGTGGTTAGGAGCCTGGCATTGCCCACATTTCTCAAGCTTTATGTCTAGTTCCCCTGGGCTGGTGGCATTGGTGCCATTCACACTTAACCCCTGATTGCCTGTATCCTCAGAGAGAAGAGGTTAGGCCCAGACTCTGACAAGTGGGAATGCTTCATGGCCTGCCCGTGATTTCCCTTTTCCAGTCCACCCAGACCAGCACTCCTGTGGCTTATACCTAAATGTGAAAGCTTGGGACTCAGAAGCTAGTGGGCCAGACCCATTTCAGAAGGATTGGGGATGGTTCCTGAGGAAGGACTGTTTAAGCTAAGACCAAACAGATGAGGAAGACCTGTGGGCAGGGCAATGTAGGCAGGAGATACTCATGGGCTAAAACACTGAGGCAGGAAGAACTTAGTGGTTTCAGGGGCTAGTGGGGTTGGTGGGCAGAGAGAAAGGGGGAGTAAGTGGGGGGTTGAGAAGTGGAGGGAGATGGCAGGACTGTGCAGGGTGTTAGGCTGTAATAGGGAGGGCCTTTTTCTATCCAAACGGCAGTCCTCGGGCACCAGATTCAGAGCCATGCAGACCCCACAGGGTACTTAGGAAGTGTCTCAACGAGTAGGAGTGACCACTAGCACTTAGTGGACAGGGAAACAATGCCATTGCTTCTGCCAATACAGCCCTCTGGGAGAATGGTGGTGAGTCATCCTGCAAATGAGGGTCAGAGCTTGGTGCCGAGGTGGGAGGCCCTGCGGCCATGCCAGCCTCTTTGTAACTGCTCCCACCCTGCCCCTTGCAGGCCTAGGATCCTGGAGATGGACAAGGAAGAGAACCGACGCTCAGTGCTGCTGCCCACACACCGGCGGAGGGGGAGCTTCAGCTCTGAGAACTACTGGCGCAAGTCCTATGAGTCGGAGGACTGCTCAGAGGCCGCGGGCAGCCCCACCCGAAAGGTGAAGATGCGGAGGCACTGAGGCCCACTGCATCCTCTCGGGAACTCTGGTTAATCCTCACGTAGCCACCCCGTTTTTGTTTCGTTTTGAGGGGTTTTGTTTGTTTTTTGTTTGTTTGTTTGGACCCTTTTATTTTTCCTTGGTTTATTGCCTGTTGAGGCTAAAGAACAGAATTGGTTCCTGGTTTTCCTCTTGGATGGAAAGGCTGACAGCTCACTCTGGAGTGGCTAGTAGAGGAACGCGGGGCAACCATCATCAAGTGGGGCTGTGTCAGGCTGGTTTTATTTAAAAGCAACAAAATGTTTTGGTTAAGAAAATTCTTGTTTTGCTTTATATGTAAATTTTCTCAGTGTTGTGAATGAAGTTGTCCCTGTAAACCCCCCCCCCCCCCCCCCACTCCCCATGTTTAAGCTGGGCTGAGGTCTCCTGGGCCTTGCTGTCCTACCTGTCACCTGCTCTCCAGGCTCTGGAAAGTCACACAAACACCTTCTTCCTCTTGCTGCAGAATCATTCAGGATGACTGAGCAGGCGCTTCAGTAGTGCCAGCCCCTGCACCCCAGAGCTATTGGCCGAGCCCAGGGCTTCCTCCATGCCCACTGGCCTGCTTTGCCTACAGGTCCCTGGCTGCAGCGGTCCTGACCTCTTGTCAAGAGCATACCTCTGCTGGATTGCTCCTTTCAGGCATATGCGTGTGATTGTATGGAACAGTTAGACTGGCCATGTTGGGACAGTTTTAGAAATTTTTTCTAGCTAGAAGGACTGGTGTCCTTCCAAGTCTAGCATTTGGGGTATGGAAAATTGTGGTGTGTAGCAGGATTTTTGTTTAGATTTTTTTTTTTCCCTTTGGTCTCGTTCTTTTCCTTTCCCTTTCCTTTCGTCTACATTGGCCAGTTTGGGCCTTCTCCCGTGTCACCCCCATAGAAAGGTGTCTGCCCCTCTGCCTGCCTGCAGCACACATCCAAGGCCAGAGCCCAGGTCTGCAGACTGGGTTAGTGTCTCTTCCGCCTCGGGGCACGGGAGCTGGGGAAGGGACTTTTAAAAAATAGTAATAAGAGGGGAAAAGTAGTCTTTGGCAGTTTCCACCTCCTCAGATTCTCGAGGGCTGTGAGGTTTTGCTGGTCTAGATTTGTTAGAAATGTTTTAGGCCTGAGAGCAGATTGCCCACGTTGCCACCACTATGGGGAGGACCTTGGTTATAGAGTCCTAGGTCTGGGGCTGCAGAAATTGGGGGCAGCCACCATTAGGAAGCCCTTCTCAGGGCCAGAACTCCTTTGCCAGCGTGGATCCTCAAGTTGGAACTGCATAACTAAGGCAGTTGCATTTTTTTTTACAGCTCCCCGTCCCCCCTCAATGATTTGTAGTTGTGTGTGCAGCACTTTGCCCTGATATGTGTGCTCTACAATAAAAACCAAATCTAATATATTTTGAAACAGTTGTCTGATGCTATCATAAAAGAGGGCTTGCCTTTGGTGCTTCCTTCATCCCTTCATTTTCTCTTTAAACTCTGAACGGGGGGTTGGTGGTGAGCAGAGTTTATTGTCCACTAGGGCTCCAGAGGAGATGACCAATCGCTGACACAGGCCCAGGGGCTGAAGGTGGACTGGACTTCTGCTTTTTCTCCCACTCCCAGGAGCCAGGATCCTACCCTGCTGAGTTCTGGAAGCTCCTCTTCCTAGGGGTGATCAGAGGATGTGTGCTAGTGAAGGAAGGACAGCATGAGCAAAGGCAGGGGGGAGAGCCTGGTCTTTGTAGAAGACACACAGTGGTTTTGCTCATTAAACAAATAACTGAGTTCTTATATTCTGGGCAATCCCACACTGTGGCCCCAATAGTGAGCAAAACTATCCTGGTCCTTGCCTTCAGAATTCATACCAGTAGAGTTGTGGTATATGGACACAGGCAGACATTTTGGGATGGAGTGGGATTGGGGCCCAGAGGGTTTTAGTACCTCCAGATCCCAGACCTGGCTCCCAGGTTCTGGTTAGGGGCTTTGGCCTAGAGTCTTCTTCATTTGCTTCCAGTGCCCACAGCCAGTCTGCTTGGCCAAATTCTTATTGTGGAAACCTGGAAAGCCACTTAACTGCCCATTTAACAGAGGAAAGTCCAGATCCAACAATTGTCCAGCCAGGGCTCATTCCTGCAAATCGGTAACAGATCTGGCCAGTTGGGCCTACAGGGGTCAGCCACTGGCTGCAGACTGGGCCCTGGATGCCCCAGAGAGGAGACATTGGAGCTGAGAGGGAAAGTGACTTGCCAAAGATGAGCTAGACTAGAGTATACATGTAGAGGTGCGCACCCACCCCTCTATGCCTGGGCTCCTGATTAGGAGCATGGAATGGGGGCTCACATGGAAAGCTGGGAACTGAGAGGGCTCTTCTGTAGCTGTGACAAAGCCAGACCCTGGTTCTTCCTAGTCCCTGGGTGAAAGAGGCCCTTGGCCCTGCAGGATTGAGGGACAGGAGAACATAGAGAAAGAGGGTCCCGCCCTAGCAGATCCTGCTGTGTCCTTGGCATTAGTCTCTGTACCTGTACAATGGCTCCTTGGCACCCCATCTCTTGGACTGTGATAATCCCTTGAGCAGTCCCCAAGCCTGCAGAGACCTTAAGGGAATGGGAGATCCCATACCTGACTCCTTGAATCTGACTGTTCCCAGCCATCTTCTGGGGCACCAGCTGTTTGGGCCAGCTGCTATGTCCCATCAGTCTGCCCCCAGCCCGGTCTTGTACACAGTAGGTGCTCTAACAACATCTGGCACCAGTACTGCCCACCTGGGGAGCCCATCTCATTCCTCCGACCCTGTTGTTTGGTGGGGGAAACTTAGGTCCAAAGTCATGTTCATTCAAAAAATATTTGAGTGTCCTATTGTGTACCAAGCTCTGTGCTGGGTGTTGAGGATACAAGACAGACCTGGTATATGTCATATACACACATGTTATTATAAATTGTACTGATATAAAAGATGTATAGCACATAAAGTACAAATAAAATATACAATATTCTTTATCATAAATTTGTATAGCCAGTTTTTCACAGAATGCTTTTGTTGATTTTTTTTTCTGAATTCTTATATTTATAGCCCACCTGTGGTACTAATTCAACCACGATATGGCAAATGGAGTTCCATCCCATCTACTTGTATTAGTTTTCTGTGGCTGCAGTAACAAATTACCACAAACAACAGAAATTTATTTTCTCACAGTTCTGGTGGTCAGAAACCCAAAATCGCTATTACTGGGTGTTGGCAGGGCCATGCTTCTTGTGGAGGCTCTAGTCCTTACCTCTGGCAGCTTCTGGTGGGTATTGAAACTCCTGGACGTACAGCCACATGGCCTTCTCTTCTGTGTTTACCAAATCTCCCTTTGCCTCCATCTCCTCAGGACACTTGTGTGATGGGATTTAGGGCCCAGCTGGAGAACCAAAAATAATCCCCCATGTAAAGATCTTTAATCACATCTGCACGGTTAAAAAAATGTAAAATATAAAACATGGATAAGTTCCAGGGATTAGGACCTGATATCTTTGGGGGCCACTGTTAAGCCGACTACACTGCTCTTGTACCAGATTCTCTTTTTTTAATCCTCACCTGAGGACATGCTGTTATTGATTTTAGAGGGAGGGAGAAACATCAATGTGAGAGTGAAATACTGATCCGTTGCCTCCCGCACATGCCCCAACTGGGGTCAAACCCACAACCTGGGTATGTGCCCTGACTAGTAATCAAACTCTCGACATTTTAGTATATGGGACTACGCTGCCACCAACTGAGCCACACTGCTCAGGGCAGCAGTTAATTTGCAGTTAATTTATTATCATTAAATTTGATACATGACATACAGATTTGTCATCATTGAGCAAATTGTTAATTGGATTGAAATTTCTCAGCCTCAGCACTACTTTTAAATTTAATCTGCATCCTTAATATTTTTTCCACCTATTTAAAAAAATTTTTAAATTGATTTTAGAGGAAAGGAGAGAGAGAAACATCGATGTAAGAAACATCAATCGGTTGCCTCCTGCATGCGCCCCAACTGGGTATCCAACCCGAAACCTGGGTATGTTCCTGACTGGAAATCAAACCCACCACCTTTTGGTGTACAGGATGAGCCTCCAACCTTCTGAACCAGACCAGCCAGGTTCCATCTGTTTCTTAAGTCTAGACCTGTGCTGTCCACTATGGCAGCCATTGGAAAATTTGCCTGTTGAACACTTGAGATGTGGCTAGTTTGAACCGAGATGTGCTTTAATAAACACCAGAATTTGAAGAGTTAGTAATGAAAAAAAATGTAAAAGATATTATTAGTTACTTTATATTGATTACATGTTGAAATATTTTGGACATACCAGGTTAAATAAAATATACTATTTAAATTAATTTCAGCTGTTTTCCTGTTACTGTTTTAAATCTGGCTACTCCAGAGTTTAGCCCGTCCAGCGTGGCTCAGTGTTGAAGCGTCCTGTACACCAAAAGGTTGCGGGTTTGATATTCCCAGTTGGCATATTCCTAGGCTGCAGGTTCGATCCCTGGTTGGGGCGCATGTGGAAGGCAACTGATCGATGTCTCTCTCTCCCTCCCTTCCTCTTTCTAAAATCAATAAAAATATATCCTAGGATGAATTTTTTTTTAAAAAAGAGCACAGACAATAGCAAAATACAGTGAAATTAGGAAGTGCTTAGTTTTGAACATTACTTTTGCTTTTAATATAATATAGTTTTAATTTTATATAATTTAACTTTTAATAATGGTTTTATTTTAACAACTGACTTGCAAAAATTCTTAAAATTCCACAGTTGGCTCTTGGAGCCATTATTGGGCATTGTGGGGACTGGGGTCCTCTAATTAGGTTTTAGGGTGCTCATTGTGCAGTTCTTCCCTGTGCCCACAGTGGGGCAGCAGAGTCCAAGTGACAGTGCTTCAGAGTGGGGCAGGGGCAGCTGTCCTTTGCTTTGGATGGGGAACTGAGGCCCAGGGGCAAGAATTTAGGATCCCTACTATTGCCCTCCTCAGCCAGGGGCCTCAGGACTCACAGGGGCGTTCTCCTGATGAGCCTTTGCACATGCCGGTGCTCTCTGCCTTAGGAGCCTCCTCAGGGCTGCCTCTGGGCTCCCCAGACCACTGGCTACCCTCAGCATAGCCCAGTGTCCTGTGTGGTCCCTGTGCTTCCACTCCAGGGTGGGAGAGTAGGCCCTCACTCCCACCTTCTCCTGGACTCTCACTGTGAGGCCCTTTTCAAATGGTCTTATTTAATTTGGGACTGGGCTCATATTTTGACTCTGCATGTACCAGCTGTGTGATTTGAGGCAAATTACTTCACCCCTCTGACCTTGGTTTCTTCCTTTGTAAAATGAGCATAGGATTAAAGGAATGACGATGGTCCTTGGCACAGACTAAGTGCTCAGTGTTGTTAAATAGTAGCAATTAATATTTACCCCCATTGTGCAGATGAGTAAATCGAGGCCCAGAAAGAAACAGGAACTTGGGGCCACAGAGAGGAATGAAGCACAGAACTCCACCTTCCAACAGGCCTGTGACAATGCCCACCTGCTCAGCCCCTGCAGCCTCAAACCTGAAACTCCCTGCAGGGGGCGGTACCTTCATCCCAAAGTCCTGTGGCCCAGCATGAGCCGAGAAAAGCACACCAAGCGTCCTGGCTCAGCAAGTGTCAGGGCTGAGAGCCCTGCACCCAGAGAGGCACACTGGCTGCAGGTCCAGAGAACCATTATTATCTCCCCCCATGTGACCTTGGGCAGGTCACTTTTCTCCCGTTATTAAAAAATACATTTTTATTGATTTCAGAGAGGAAGGGAGAGGGAGAGATAGATGGAAACATCAATGATGAGATAGAATCATTGATCAGCTGCCTCTTGCACACCCCCCACTGGGGATTGAGCCCACAACCCAGGCATGTGCCCTGAATGGGAACTGAACCCTGACCTCCTGGTTCATAGGTCGATGCTCAACCACTGAGCCACACAGGCCAGGCAGGTCACTTTTCTCTTGACCTGCTTCCTCCCTTAGGAAATGAGGACAGGCTGGGTCTGCCTAACACTCCTCCCCCTGCCTGTTTGGCTTTTCTTTGACTGATGCCCAACACACTGTTCACCCTCTGTTAACTGAGGGCTCAAGATCCACTGCCACCTCCCCTACCTGGGCCCTAAAGAGCGCCCTGAGAGCCAACTTCATTTTGCATACCACCCGGGATGAGGGGCTCAACCTTTCCCCCGGCTCAGGCTCCCCAGTGGTCTCCCAGTCAGTCCCCACATCCTGCTTGTTTTCCCCCCTCATTTCCTTCCAACCCAGACCCCACTCCAGGAATTCTCCGGCCTGCCAGATCCCTGGGGGGCGGGGTACCAAGAAGAAGTTGCCTGTGTCCTTTGGGCACCAGAGGAGCGTTGTGGCCTCAGCTGGGATTTGGGCCAGCTCCTGGAAGGCTGGGTCCTCTGCCCTCAGCCAGGCCCTCCGGTTTCCCTCCCACTTCCTGCTGCCCCTGCTCTGTCTCCCTTTCCCCTCCTTCCCTCCACAGGTCAAGGCACTTCTCTACCTTTAGCTTCCGTTTACTGTCTGTAAGTGGGATTTCCCTCACATCTACCTCCAGGATGGTTGCCAGCATTCAAAGGGAGAATGCACAGATAGAGCATTTATCTGAGGACACCCTCAGTGCACGCCAGCCTGTCTCAGGGCCACCCCTATTCACCTCCCTGCCCCACCCCCCACTCCCATCAGCCATCACCTCTTGTGGACTCGCTTCCTAAATAGTGTGCATTGTTATTTCTTAATTAAATATTTCAAACACACTGAGAAATACTTAAAATAAGTCACAGAAGTACCCACATTAACATTTTGTCATATTTGCTTTAGATCTTAAAAAATTGTTTTTTTTTTCAAATTGTGTCAAGTACCTACTATGTGCCAGGCACTGGAGCACACCAATGAACAGCATTAAAAACAGCCCTGGCCCTAGCCGGTTTGGCTCAGTGGATAGAGCTTCATGTACCTTGGTTGCAGGCTTGATCCCTAGCCTGGGGCCGTGTGTGGGAGGCAACCAATCGATGTCTCTCTCATCCATGCTTCTCCTCTCTTCGGTCTACACCCCCTCCCTTCTCTAAAAATCAATGGAAAAATATCCTCCGGTGAGGATTAACTAAAAAAAATATTAAAAAAAACCCTAGCCCTGGCTTGGCCAGGTAGCTCAGTTGGTTAGAGCATCATCCTGATATGCCAAGGTTGTGGGTTCGATTCCAGGTCAGGGCACATGCCTAGGTTGCAGGCTTGATCCCCGGTGTGGGGCGGGCAGGAGGCAGCCAATCAATGATTCTCTCATCGATGTTTCTATCACTCTCCCTCTCTGAAATCAATAAAAATATGTTTAAAAAAAAAAGAATGAACCAATGAAGTAAATAAGTGGAACAACAAATCGATGTTTCTCTCTCAAACCAATAAATAAAATAAAATTGGATAAAATTAAATTAAATTAAAAAAATACCTCACCTTCAGGGAGGACCTTCTCAAGCTGGGAAGTCAAGCCACGCAGTGCACACGTAAAGAAGTCAAGTAGGTGGTGCTGAGGAGAGGTCGTCAGCATCAGGCAGGGAGGCACCCAGCGGGGAAACAGCTGTCAGGAGGCTCCCTGGAGGAGTGTCATTTAAGTAAGACCAAAAGGAAGAGAGGGGCTTGGCTAAATGAGCCCAGGCTTTCCAGGCAAGGAAAAGATCCGTGCAAAGGTCCCACGGCAGAAGCTAGTCTGCTAATTGGAAGAACGCCAGCATGTCCTGAAGCGAGTCCTAAAATAGCTGACTCACTAGATACAGACCCTGCCAGGCCCTGTGCTCAACTCCTGTTTTGAATCATCTCATTTAGTCCTCGTAACATTACAGATGAGGAAACAGGCTCAAGGTGGCTCAAGCCTGACCTGACATCACCCAGCTGGCAAGGCGATATCTTAGGATTTGAAGCCAGGCCTGGGTCCCACCTCAGTGCTGGGGTAGGGTCCTGGGGTGGCCTAGGAGAAGGAGGGGGCAGGGAGAGGCCACCACACCTAGAAAATGCCGAGAAGGTAGCAGCTCCTCCCTGGCCAGAGGCTGACCTGAGTGTGAAGAGGGAGCAGCGTCTCTTCCAGCGCTGACTCGGCAGCCTGCTCCTCCATCCCCAGGAGAGGGGTGGGGGCCCCTAAGGTCACTGAAGACCCTATCTCCTGCTTTCAGCAAGGAACAGTCCTGGCCTGGCAACCTGGCCCTGTCGCCTGGGCCCCCATGGTAACCAGAGGTCGGGCTGCCCCTCAAGGGGGAGGGAAAGACAGTTACTAGTCCCCCAGGTCCTCCAGCCTGGGAGATGGTCCCCTCCCCAGTGCCCTTCCTAAACCCTGCCTGGCTTTGGGGACGGGGGCAAGTTGGGCCTGGGAAAGGCCTGTTTTAAAATCCAGAATCTGGGATCCCACTCCACGGGCATTCACATTTGGTGGGCCTAGAATCTATTGTGAACAAGTGTGGGGGAGCTCTGACACTGTGAGAACCCTTACTTGCCAGGAGACCCGCCTCTTGTCTACCTACCCCCCAGCCTCTCTACCTGTTTCAGCTCAGCTTGAATCGTGCCCCTCCCTCCAGGACACCTGCCCTGGGTCACATGCTTCTGCGTGGCCCATCACAGCACAGCACAGTGAACGCCTGGTGGTTGTGGCCTCCACTCAGCTCTGTCCCATCCCCTAGATTGTGAGCAGAGTGGGGATGCTTACTACCTGATGACTAAGCATCATTTCAAAGAACGGAGACTGAGGAAGGGCAGGGACTGGCCTGGGGTGATGGAGGAGGAGAGCTCCAATAGCAATTAGTAAGAACTTAATAACAGCTACCACTCACACGGCTCTTCCTGTCTGCCTGGCACAATCCAAGGGCTTCACAAGTACTAATTCATCTCATCTTCACAACAACCCTTTGAGGTAGGTACTAGTATTATCCACATTTCTACAGACGAGGAAACTGAGGCACAGAGAGCTTAAGTAATTTGCTCCAGGCTGCACAGCTTCTAAATGGTGAAGTTGGGATAGGAATTAACAAATTTCTAACACTTCTCTGTGTGAGACCCTCATTTTGTGAAAGAAGCAACTGGGACTCAGGTCTTGTCAGTAGATGGCAGGGCAGGGACCAGAACCCAGGCCTGAGTTGCCTGTGCTGAGTGTGGGATAGGCAGTGGCCCAAAGGATCGACCCTCTCATTCCAGCCAACTCTGCCCATAACTCAAGTCAAAGCCCCTCTGCTCTTTACCCATCTGTCTTAGCTTCCTCATCTGTAAACGGGGATCATTTTGTTGCCTCCCTCAGAACTGTTGAGAGCATTAAATCGGTGGTTTTGAGTAGTGCCTGCCACACATCAGGCACTCAAGCTGTTGTTCTTAGCATTTTTCCTCTTTTCACCATCCTGCTCCCTCACCTGTCCCTCTTCCAGATCCAGCCCCAACCCCAGGGAAGTGCTAGGCAGGGCTGGCATGGGTGGAGAGGGACAGCCAGGCCCCTGTTGCTTGGCAGTTGCCTCTGAGGGTCAGAAGTCAGGCCTGCCTCCCTTGACAGAGCTGGTGGGGATGGGGCCTGGTTCACCCCCACGCCCCCACCTAAGTTTCTGGGACCTGGGACCTGCCCAGCCCTTAGCCAAGGGCAGCCTATCTTCAGCCTGGCTGAGGCCATTGTCCAGATGAGAAAAGGAGGCCTGGGAGGTAGGTGGGGACAATTCCATTGTCCCCCAGAAATCGGAGGTGGGCAGTTGTATGTATATAGTTCCCAGCACAGGGAAGGCCCTTCCCCTATCTTGGAAAAGCCCAAATCTAATCTCAGGACCTTCCCAATTGTCCCGCCCTGGGGAAGACCCTCCGCTTTGCTGGCTCTCCATCCCTCTTTGGCTGATGGAACTCCTAAGAATCCCTAAGTTGCCACATAGAGCCTGTTGTGTCGGGTCCTGAAGGATGTGTAGGAGTTCCCCAGGGGCTGGGGACTAAGGGCCTTCCTGATTAGTTCATTCCATCTTGACCACACACCAAGAGCAAAAAGCATGTCGGTGGGAGGTGGAGAATAGTCAAAATGGTGTCCCGAAAAACTGGTAAACATTGGATCAATGCATAGATGGGGCAACGGGCTGAGGGGCCAGGGCGTTGCACCAGTAGAACCCTCCTGGCTTTCGGGGTAGGGCTGCCTCATTACCTGAATATGCATGTCGCTCGCTCGTAGGAGGAGGGGAAAGGCGTCTTCCAGGTTCGGGAGCACGCGCCAGCCCCTCTAAAGTTCACCCAGCCGTCCACACTGGATCCTGGGCTCTCGGACTACAAGTCCCGGCAGGCCCCGCGCCGCGGCGAGAGCTCGGCGGGCGTCGCTTCGCGAGCCGGGGAAGCGTCGGAGCCCGGTCTCCTCCCGTCCTCTGGCCGGCAGGGGCGGGGCGGACGGCGCGCGGGCAAGCCCATTGGTCGAGCCGTG